AGGCAGCTCCTCACTCACGCTGTTGGGGCGAGATTTCATGACAGTGACTGTGCTTGCTGTTGCGCATGACCGTGCAGGCGCGATTAAAATACATATAATAGAGAGTATTTAGGTACACAAAGATTCTCTCTCTCTCTCTCTCTCTCTCTCTCTATATATATATATATATATATATGTATATATATATATATATATATATATATATATATATATATATATATATATATATATATATATTATATACATATACATGTATATATATAATATATAATATATATATATATATATATATATATATATATATATATCCCTCTCTCTCTCTCTGTATCTATCTATCTATCTCACAATGTATACTGCTGTTGCTAAAGTTGACCCAAAGAATTGACTAGGTATTGTAACTGTTATGTCATCTTGATTATTATATATATGTATAGACGTGAGTGTGTACATGTTTATATATATATATATATATAGATAGATATAGATGTAAATAGATGTAGATAGCTAAATTTTGGTAGATATAGATGAACAGATAGATATAGATATGTGTATGTGGTTCTATATTTGCATGTACGCATGTGTAATATATATGTATATTTACAATCAAGAAGTGTAAAATAATTTTGGCAAGAATTTGTATATACTGTTTTTACTTTCTTCGTTTAGAAAAGTAGGGCCAACACGAAGAAATTAATCGTTAATTTCTTTATCTACGAAAAAAATCTCAAAACGTTTCACAGACAAACATGTACTAGGACATGGACTTCCTTACCATAGGTGACTCCCATCGATTTTATTGACCACTTCTTCCAATTATAGATAAGTACCAAGACCTACCTTGGACTGGCCTGGTAACACATAGCTATGGTGTGGCAGTTCCTTCACATTGATTTTCAGAGCGACGACTTAGGAACAGGAGAGCTAATCTTTAAGGCTAGATAAGGGTGATTCCCGCGTCAATGTTATTTATATAAAATGATTTGGAATCCTCACAACCTTGATGATGACACTACGCGAAATTGTGCCCATGAATAATATACCTAACACCATTGCGTAGTGTAATATTCGTTTCCTAAGTTTACCCTATAATTCTTCCACTAGCTGTTAACGACCCTGGGTGTTGACGCGGTAGATAGCTTTAAACAATTATTCAGGGGACCGTGTGATAACCAGGGCAAGGTCAGTCAAGCGGCAAATATCCTTTTCTCCTGACGATACCATCCTGTGTGAGAGAGAGAGCTATGTATGGATATTACCGGTGAGATCGTAGAGAACTAGAGTTTGGTGTTAGCAAAGCATTGGTTCTTGGCTTTATTTCATATCTTAAGCATGTCTTTTTATTGACATTGTTATTATCATTATCAACATCATTGCCATCATCATTTCCATCATCACTATCATAATCACTGTTAACTTCATCATTAATAATATCCTTGTTATTGTCATTATCCTCATCATCATTATCATTATCATTATCTTTATCATTAATCATTATCATTATCATTATCATTATCATCATCACCATCATCATCATCATCATCATCATCATCATCATCATCATCACCACCACCACCACCACCACCACCACCACATCTTCATCGTATTACTTACCTCCGTACATTAAATATTCCGCTAAGTTACCTGTGGTAACGACACGACAAAAAAAAAGAAATGAGAAATAGAAAAACAATACAGAATAGCCATATCACCTTCCGCATCAATCACTGTACCACACAAAACCACAATTGTATAAAGGCGGTTGGACGAGGAACCTCAACATCCTGAAACTGTAGAATGGTGTAGTATAAGTTTACATCGAACTCCCGTGAAACTTACCAGAGGCAATGTTATTCGTGGGTGATATATATATAAGGTCATAGACACATGAATATATATTTATATTAATGTAAAAAGGGTAAGTTGTTAGATAAAATGAGAATATTAAAATCGTGTCTATCTTTTATCTATCTATCTCTCTATCTATAAAACACACACACAAAATTAAATATATATACATATGGCAGAAAAACCCACAAGTAAAAAAGTATATTTATTGCAAATGGGACTACAGTTTCGGAATCCACCTGGATTCCATCTTTAGAACTTTAGATGGAATCTAGGTGTAGCTGTTAACGACCCTGGGTGTTGACGCGGTAGATAGCTTTAAACAATTATTCAGGGGACCGTGTGATAACCAGGGCAAGGTCAGTCAAGCGGCAAATATCCTTTTCTCCTGACGATACCATCCTGTGTGAGAGAGAGAGCTATGTATGGATATTACCGGTGAGATCGTAGAGAACTAGAGTTTGGTGTTAGCAAAGCATTGGTTCTTGGCTTTATTTCATATCTTAAGCATGTCTTTTTATTGACATTGTTATTATCATTATCAACATCATTGCCATCATCATTTCCATTATCACTATCATAATCACTGTTAACTTCATCGTTAATAATATCCTTGTTATTGTCATTATCCTCATCATCATTATCATTATCTTTATCATTAATCATTATCATTATCATTATCATTATCATCATCACCATCACCATCATCATCATCATCATCATCATCATCATCATCACCACCACCACATCTTCATCATCGTATTACTTACCTCCGTACATTAAATATTCCGCTAAGTTACCTGTGGTAACGACACGACAAAAAAAAAGAAATGAGAAATAGAAAAACAATACAGAATAGCCATATCACCTTCCGCATCAATCACTGTACCACACAAAACCACAATTGTATAAAGGCGGTTGGACGAGGAACCTCAACATCCTGAAACTGTAGAATGGTGTAGTATAAGTTTACATCGAACTCCCGTGAAACTTACCAGAGGCAATGTTATTCGTGGGTGGATATATATATAAGGTCATAGACACATGAATATATATTTATATTAATGTAAAAAGGGTAAGTTGTTAGATAAAATGAAGAATATTAAAATCGTGTCTATCTATTTATCTATCTATCTCTCTATCTATAAACACACACACAAAATTAAATATATATACATATGGCAGAAAAACCCACAAGTAAAAAGTATATTTATTGCAAATGGGACTACAGTTTCGGAATCCACCTGGATTCCATCTTTAGAACTTTAGATGGAATCTAGGTGTGTGTGTGTGTGTGTGTGTGTGTGTGTGTGTGTGATATACACAAACAATACACCACTGTGTAGTGTCTGATATGTCGATCAACTTTTTATCCACAAGTAACAATATGCATTATCACGAGATGAAGTATCTTGGAGACACTAATGAGTGTGGTGTGAATGTCATCTAATCACGCCATCAGGCTGTTTTCATAAGTATTTACTCTTAAAAAGTCAAGAACTGTTTCTTATTTGCAACGTTTTCAGTGTCAGCCTTTTTAAATGCTACGTTACGTTTTCTCTCGTTGGCTTACTCCCCGCCACTAAACAAAACTAGGCTGATCATTGTGAATGGAAGCAGAAAGCTTGAATTACTAGTTGTTATTGAATGTTTGGCTCATTATTCATCAAGGTATACCTCTTGACTACAATCTAATCCGATACCCCGACAACCACAGATAAAATACTTATATAACCGACAATTTCAAACCTTGTACATTAGCAAGAATAGCAAACTCACTAATGGTAAATGCGTTCCCTGAACGGACACCCAAGCCTTAACGTGCACTAAGGAGACGAGAGGAGACAAAAGTCTTTCCGGATGAGTGGATGAGAGCCATTAGCGTCTACCCTCTTCCTGCACTCGCTCTTCTCCCGCTCCGCCTGCCGAAAAGAAAACTAAACGAGTCTGTTTCAGTCATTTGTTGATATAGTCACATGATACATCAGTTATTGCTGGGCCTGAATGATTCTATTCTTGAAGTACAGTGAATGAGCGGTTACCTAGTAAAATGATGGTTGTACCAAAGTTAGATATGTCTGAATATTATTTATGAATAAATATAGTCCATACTACAAGATCAAATAATGCAATCCTAAATAAATACATTACTGAAGTAATGAATGTAGTTGTAGAAATAGAATAAATGTAGAATAAAGGATATTCACAGTCTATTGCCACCTAGTAACATTTATTGTTAAGTAGTATGGCAGTTTGAAGATTAATACAGGATAATGTCATACAACCTATTTATTCATATATAGATTAATAAACTAATACGAACGGCTACTTTTACACTTGTTTGTTAATTAAATATAATGCCCAGTGCAACGGAGAACTGCAGTTGATATTACCTGATTAGTAGAAAAGCAACACAAAATCTGCAAAGCGCCTTAGAATTTTATGTTGATTCCACAAACATTTCCAGAGGGGGGGGGGGGCAAGTCTTCCGCCTTACTGGGATTGTAAACGATATTTCAGTTATGATATCCACGACTGACCTAGGAATAGTGTGACATCTGTTAATGCAGATGTGTGTATGTGTGTGTGTGTGTGTGTATGTGTGTGTATGTGTGTGTATGTGTGTGTGTGTGTGTGTGTGTGTGTGTGTGTGTGTGTGTGTGTGTGTGTGTGTGTGTGTGTGTGTTGTGTGTGTGTGCGTGCGCGTGTGTGTGTGTGTGTGTGTGCTTTACATGATTAAATATATTTTTTATCTATCTGTCATCAACCTCACCTGCATTATTGCCATTGGCATCTAAACATGTTGACTTTTCATTACAATCTTCACTAACAAAACCATCATCACCTTAAAATTACTCGTAGCATCATCCGTACCTACGTTTTCTATACTTAGCCTTTATTACTATTACTGTTTGTTGCCAGCCTGTCAAAGTTACCAGATAAGACGGTCCTGTCAAGTTAAGTTGCCATAACTGCTTACGTGAAGGTTTGTGTGGTATGTGGTATGTTTCTGTAGTCACCCTACTGATATACGTGAGCTCCATGACACCGTGGGCGAGGTCAGTGTAGTACTAATCTAGAGGTCGGGGGTTCGTAGCTTTGTGATTCGAGTGATTCGGACCCTGACTGTTCCCAGCAGAGAGTGTCTTAATATG